TCCGACGAGTGAAATAGCATTGGCCGGCCGCACGAAGTCCGCCGAACACCTCTGTGGTCCTTGGAGTGCGCCGGGGCTAATATCACCGACCTGCCGGCCACCTCGTACTTCTACGGTTGCCTGGTCGGCAAACTCGCGCTCTCCACGTTCGTCGACACCTCCATTGGCCGGAAGAAAATGCTAGAATGGCTGCAGAACCTTCGATTTGGTCTTCCACGATGGTTCCCCCAACGTCGGTGGTGCCTGGTCTAAGGAGGCTACCAATCAAAATGCTTTGGTCATTGATTCCGTTAAAAGTGGCGTTGAGCCGCTTCGCCTGTACTTTCGAAGTCAGGAGAACTCGCCGGAAACAACTGAAACATGGTAGAATCATCGGAGAAGAATTAAAGAGATGTGAAATGACTAAAATACCCACATTATTCCAACGATTAAAATTTTCCGGCGAAATTAGGCCGGCAATTTGACCGGAGTGACCAAAATTGACAAAAATTACATACTCAAGGTACTAAATTGACACTTTTGAAAGTTAGGTGCTGAAATTAACAAAGCCCCTATAGTCATATGACCAAAATTGAAATTTTCGCTGAAGGGGAGAAAGAAATACGAAAAGTTTTTTTTTTTAAAAAAAACTAATTCTTGTTACACGTTCAACTAGCGCGTGTAGTACACGCACTTGCTGGACACGACAGGTTTGCCCAACGCTTACGTGAATGAGTATGCTTTGTTTTTTTGTTTTTTTTTTTTGTTTTTTTTTTTTTGGTTAAATGTTAGAAAAACCATCAAAAGTACACTCTTGAATTTGCTCTTAGATAATAGTTGGAGTGATTTAAGCAATAAATTAAATGAATGGGTAGTGATTTTTTTTTTTTTTTTTTTAAGTTTACTTCCAACCTATATCAGCAACATACAGGAAAGGAAATATACAACTCTATTCTATTATTCTGGGTCATAATTCTTAAAGATTAAAAGGAATAAGGTTCAAATTGACTACTAAATGTAATCTGAAAATGTAATTAGGCCACTGAACGAAAAAAAAAAAAAAGGTTCAATTAGGCCACTGAACACTTCAAAAAATATAATTAGGTCATTGAACACTCCAATTGTATGCAATTTCACCTGATAGCAGGTTATCATCAATTTCAGGAAGTTACCTGCTTACGTGATAACTGAGTTGACATTTTTAATAATATTTAATAAATTTTATAAATAAATAAATAAATAACGGAGAGGGGGGAAGGGTGGCCGGCGGCCACCTCGTCGTTTTTTTTTTAATTTATTTTTAATTGTTTTTAAATTTATTATTAAAATTTATAAATAATTATTAAAAATGCCAACTCAACTGCTACGTAAGCCGGTAACCTGCTGAAATTGATAGTAACCTGCTATTAGGTATACATACATTTGGAGCGTTCAGTGGCCTAATTGCACTCTTTTTTTTTTCTTTTTTTTTTCGTTTAGTGACCTAATTGCATTTTCATGTTACCTTCAGTGGCCAATTTGAACCTTATTCCAAGATTAAAAGATGAAAGACTTTCTAAAGTATTGGTTTCATATTTCCATGCGCAACAATGATCTATTATTGCATGAGCTCTATTTTTTAGTTTCATTTTTCACACATGCTTATTTAATTATAATAATATTAAAGTATTATTTTAATTACACTACAGGTTCATTTCACAATATATGTTATTGTATGACTCTGAATTTTAGTTTCATTTTTCACACACACTAATATTATTATAGCAACATTAAAGTATCATTTTAATTATAATAATATTAAAGTATTATTTTAATTACACTACAGGTTCATTTCACAATATATGTTATTGTATGACTCCGAATTTTAGTTTCATTTTTTCACACACACTAATGTTATTATAGCAACATTAAAGTATCATTTCAATTATACTATCGTTTCATTTTACAATATACATTATTGAATGAGCTAATCTATCTTTTAGTTTCATTTTTCACACACACAAATTTCATTATAAAAAGTTAGCAACACTAAAATACATTTTAAGTCTACTACTATTTTTTTTAATTATCCTGATCTATACAACATGTGTGAATCATCGTCTGCTGATAGAATCCGCTGAATATTTCAATTATGTGCCATAGTTCATTAATGTATAAATTATTTGCATAATGCATTCCAGCTTTTAATTAACAGATTGATAAGCGGTAGAGGTGAATGCTAAACTGATAATCCAATAAATGTATCGAAAATTTTCAATCATTCTTCCAAAAGGTTAAACCCCAATTCGACAGGACATTTGGGAGAACGTAAATCGTGATAACTCAACTGAACATGAACCACAGAGGCTCACTGTGCACAAGGAACTCCCCTCACTTTGAGAGGTAGCTCCCACACTGCCACTAGTGAGACTCAATCTCTGATCATTCTTCCAAAGTTTTACTTCTATGACCAGTTGAGCTATCCATACGGATAAAAATTTTCAATCATTATATTATGGATCATGGTTCACGTTATATAATGTGAACCACTAAAATAAGGTTTCATTTTTAATATATTGAATGTTTATTTTTAAAAATTATTTTATATATATTGAAAGTTTATTATTTTGTATATTACTTAAAAAATAATTTTAATATATTAAAATGAAATAAATGAACATTTATTCATGATTATAATATAATTTGCCGAAAATTTTAGTTGGTTTAAACTTCTTTTTTTTTTTTTTTTCATGTAATTCGTGATAATAAGTGTTACGTATTACTCGTATATCATCGGTAATGGTTTTAAATGCGCACAATATTTTACGCACAAATTTGAACACGCTTACATAAATTTGTTTGACTAATTTGTATAAAAATTGACTAATTTATGGGCGCTTAGTCAATATATATAATTAAAATGGATTGAAACGAGTCATATCTTCTTATACTAATTATTAAAATCAAATATTTATCACTATTTCAAAAGTTATAACTAGCTAATAATAAATATACGACTTTATTTATTTATACTTGTATAGTCGTTAATATCACGTTTCAGTGATAAGATGCTATATTGTTGTACTCAAACCTTTAAACTACTGTTTAATAACGTACACTTTGTAATTGATCACTCTACTACTTGTTCAAAATTATTTTAAAAGGTAAACTTAACTTTTTTTTTTTTTTGTTCTGGTAAAATAATATTGAGAGTGAAATGGTGGAGTAATAAAATAAAGCTGTACTGTTAAGCTAAAATTAAAATAATTAGTTTAGTAAGTGAAAATAATGGTATTAGAATAGATGGTAGATGGAATATTAATAAGAATGCTGTGTGGTAGAAGCTAGTTGAAGTATTGTAGCACAACCTGGATTAGAGTACATTTAGATACAAAATAAGTGTTCAATTAATTAAGCTGGAAGTACAAACATTTGCTCAACAATGGCAACGCCCATTTTTGTTGTCAGAGTATCCACAATCCTTCCTCTGTTTCATTTTATTATTTGTCATACTTTCTATTCATTGGTCAAATCAACTCTTTCTTTTTTCTTATTTCTATTATCATTTTTAATAATTTTTAATTTTTTTTTGTTTAATAGTACTTTTAATGTAATTTCTAAATATATACATGTTACATACTAATTCTAAACTTAATATTATGAAAATTTTAATTATAATAACTTTAGTCAAGCCTCGTTAATCAAATCTGACACATAAAATGGAACTGGAGTAGTATTTTTAGTAATTCTGGCAAATGAGAATTTTTGTGGGCTCTACTCATGCTCTACACTTTTTTTTTCTTGCTTTTTCTTTTTTTTTTTTTCTTTTTTCTATTTTTGTTTTATTTTTTCTCTCATTGTCGTCCCACTTGAGAGAAAAAACTTGACAACAAAATTTAACTATATATTGAGAATGCTCTTAAATTAATGGTTGAGTGTTGTGCAGTTGTATATTATGTTTTCACAACCCCACCCTTAATTGACATATAACAACTAATTTTGTTTGTTAGAATTTATGTTTTCATAAACATTATATTTTTCAATTGTATGTTATTGTCGAATTCATGTCCTTCCTTGCGTTAAAACAAAAACAAAAACAAAAACAAAATAAAAAAACATTTTCAACCATTCATTATATTATCCCATCCATTATATTGATTATGAAAGAGAATTGGGGTATGTATCTATCACTCTATCCTATTATTCTACATGCTAATTTCACATCTTAATTAATTGGGAGGCCACACTAAACTACCTAGCTATATATGTGGTGGGCTATCATATATTCTACATTCATTTCAAACAAATTAAAATCTAGATAATAACTTGCAGAGTAGACTCACCATAATTAAAATAAATTTAATTTTGTTACCTCCTATGTAATTATTAAGATTACCACTCTAACTCTTGTTATTACATACGCAATTCAAAGCACATTACGAGCTTAGAAATGTTAATCAAGATATGAACAAATCATCAGGTCGAGTAATTCATATCTCAAATTCTTATCATCAATCTCAACATGATTTCCTAATTTTCGAATGTGTTCACAAAAAGACAAATCATGCTATATATTATCATTAATTAACACATCAAGACAATGTGTTACAACTTACAACATTCATTAATAATTCTAGCTCAAAGACGACCACCATTTTGCTATAGCATACTTTATTACTTATATGTACAACCCTCATTAAAATATAGCTCTCTATGTGATATATGTTAATAAATACTAATTCTTTGTACTAAAATGACCTGAAATTCATTAACACGCTAATCTTATTACTCTTAACTTAGGTTACTCCTAGAATCCCTGAGAACTTCAATCAAAATTCTCGTATTTTAATTTGTTGATTATTTTTTTTAGTATAATCAAATCCTTGAAGTGCCTACAAAACTATAGGTTAATAATGTTTTTTTAAAAATATAATGGCAATTTTCCGAAAAAGAAATATAATAAAAAATAGAAAAAGATTAATGTCCTCCCTTAGTAGTGGGAGGTGACGTGGAAGCTAGGTTAAACTTGTGTATATCTATATAATAAGAGCCAAAGGAATAGGCATACACACCAACATAGTAATGGCCACTACTGCTAAAAATCTCTTCACCTTTTTGCTCTCATTTGCATCTTTTCTCTTCTTCCTCATACTGAGCTGCTCAGCAGAGAAAGGGATTGCTTCCGAGTCACTCACCGAGTCGACCCACTTCCACACTGTTCCACTCACCTCTCTCTTCCCTACTACTCATTGCCATCAACCTCACACCACCCATGCATCAAAAGGTCAATACTCTCATCATCTTAGCTTCTTTAATTTTTTTCTAAATTTAAGATTATAGTTTACAACCTCAGCTCGTATTATATATATCGCAGGCTGTCCATTAATAATTTCTTCAAGTTTTGTAATATGTATGTATAATTTTAAAACTATGCAATAAATTAAAGCATTATATATATGTTACAAAATAAAATATTTAAATTATTTATTGGCTGTTGGCACTGCACGCAAGTGGGGAAAATAATTCATACAATTTCAACTTTTTCGAAAAGTGTTGGGGAAGAATATAATCCTCTTCTTTTTTTGTTTTCAAACTTTTGGCTTTCACCAACAATAGTATATATAAATATATATACAGGAATAAATTCCACCTTTTTTCCCAATTTATCCAAATGTTTTCTTTTTTCTTTTTAAAGCTAAGTGTAAGAATTTGATACCTTTAATTTGTATTTAGTACAGTGAATTTCTTATTCTTTTTAACAATAATTTTTACTATTACACATTAACAAATAAAAAATAAAAGCATCCATTCGTACGAATAGAAATACGTCGAGTTGGGAAAGGACGAGAGTTTGAATTCTGCAAATGTAAGTTTTCACTCTCAACTGCTTCTAAGAATTTTAAATATCGAGATTTACACGTCATACAATACCAATAAATTTGGATTGCATAACCATTTAAATTGACGAAATTCAACCTTTTTCAGTAAAAATAAAAAATAAAAATGTCCATTAGGTTCATAAATCACGGGTGTTCTTATTTCACAGTCACGGGGATGTAGGACAAGGTCAGCGTCAAGGCGTCAACCTCCCACCATTAAAATATTTTTTTTATTATTTTTTTTTTTGAAATCATTAAAATATTTATTTAATTAATATAATTTTCTGAATTTTTGCTGTTGTTCCGACGCTAAGAAAAGGCATGCATGTATCTTTTTTACACGTAACTATAATCAATATTTTTTTTTTTATTATTGTAATTTACCAGTGTTAAACGTACAACTAAATATTCAAGTAAGAATACATTAATTAATTGTTTTTATATATTATTGAAGCGTAGGAATACGTACTGGTGTATTATTAACCCATAGATATTAAAAGAAATATAGTTATTACAATAATTTAATACGTAATTATTAGTCAAATTATGTGTCACTTATTAAATAATATATATAATAATCTAAGTACCTAACCATAGATTTGAAGGGCTAATATAAACTAGCTAGCTATGGATATATCCGATTCCAGTCTGTCATGGAAGTGTAGACGACAGAAATGATGTGAAAAGAATTTGGTGAAGATGCACATCACACGTTATAATATATGTATTATTGTTATTGTCAAATAATTAATAATAATAATTATAATAATAATAATAATAATATTATTATTATTATTAATATTTGTCAATTATGTGAATGAAATTAGTCAAATTAAATCAATTATATATTACAAGTTTTATACCAAATAGGGTTTGTTGAATGTATTAAGTACACACGCAATGGTATTAATATAATATATTTTGTTGGGTTCTAATAACTCATTTGTCTCCTTCACGCCCCACACTAAACCAATACAAGTTATTTCATCATTTTTTCTAATAAAGAAAGGATTATTTGAAGAAAAAGAAGAGTTTATTGTAAAACACAGAACAATAATGTTACGTTGTACCTTGAACGCTTAATTTACTTGGAATGCCAAGTTTGGTTTTGGCTTGTAGACATAAACTAAAGACAGCACACAAATAAATAAATAAATAAATAAATAAATATATATATATATATATATATATATATATATATATATATATATATATATATATATATATATATATATATATATATATATATATATATATATATATTATTAATAAAATGATACCACCTTTTTCCGTCATCCTGTAAGTGCTGTGAGACACTTAATAAAATGCACAAAAACAACTACATGAATGCACAGAGAATAGATTGTAGTATAATTCGTACATCATGAATGCACACAAGCTACCATTTGTGCATTCGTATAGTAGCTTTTGTGCATTTATGACGGGTCTCACAAGACTTATGAGAACATATATATATATATACACTTAAATATTAGTGCATTCGTATAGTAACTTTTGTGCATTTATGATGGTCTCACACTCTCACACGGGAATAGATGTAAGCACTTGAATATTATCATATATATATATATATATATATATATATATAGTGATAAACAGGTGGATTCAATAATATGAAGTTGAAGTGGGTTAGTAATATGAAATCTAAATGTGAGGTGTGTTTAATACAAGCTACGTCGGATACCATTAATACATAATTAACATCCACTCACGATTATTGATGCTGCCATCTCGACTTTTCCCATGCACCACACACTTACATTTTTCAATCCTCTTTAATTAGCTAATTTATCTTCAATACATGTTTATAAATCAAATTTGTTGTACGTAATATCATTCATTTCGATCAAGTCCTAATAAACTTAGCATTCTTTCATGTTTTTTTTAAAAAAAATAAATAAATAAATAAATAGATGTTATTATTTCTAATTCAAAACAGTTTGATATTTTGTATTTTTTTATTATTTTGAAGTAAAGTTTTAATAATTAGAATGAAGCTAAACAACGTTAATGTAATTGTCGGAATGAGAGAGAAGTTGAGAAAATGGGTGAGCTTAAGGTGTAGGGCCTTTAAGTTAGGTCTGTTTCCACACAGCTGAGGATATGATATGATGGAATCTTAGCTTTTTTAAGATTTTAGGGAGGATATATCATATATATGATGACTTGTACGCCATCCATGTACCATGGGCATGGGTAATTAAGTAATTAATTAAAATTATGACACCTGCGTGACACCATCTTACGTCTTCCAATTTCCCTTCATCAATCACCTACACATTTTGCTTTCCAGAAAAATACTTGGTGTATTCCCATTTTAAATTCTCAACTTGTATTTTCTCTCACATATTTTTGATATAGACATTTTGTTGTGGACTCAAATGATAAAAATAACCAATCATGAATTGTCACATCAGAGAGTATAAATGAGGGAGAATAATTTTGATAGTCTATGTAGTAGAACTCTTTTCAATAATACAACCTTGTGGTCTAATGATACAAATGTTGGACTTGCATATAAAAAGTTGTGAGTTTGAGCCTTTAATGAATGTGATATTGACTATTTGTGATTCAGTAGATTGAAAAAATAGTTATGAATATAGATACTTAAAGGTCCTGTTTGGTAAAATGGCTGTTAGCTATTAGCTGATTGTGTTAATTAGAGAGTATAAATAGTTAATAACATTAGCTGATTGTAGAAAAGTGTTTGGTAAATTAGCTGTTAGCTGATAGTTGTCTGGTATAATTTATTTTTCAAAAAGCTAATTGAAAAAGTTGCTTGAAGTAGCTTTTTAAATTTTAGCCTTTTGAAGTTACAAAAGCTAATTAACCAAACATTTATACTGATATTTTAACTAAATCAAACAATTAATAGTGGTCAAATAGGCCAAAATTGGCCTATAGACCAATTTTTTACCAAACAGGGTCAAAATATAAAATAAAACCCATACTACCTTTAAAAAAAATTATGAGAAAAAAACACATTATTATTGTACAATAGGATATTATATCCTATAATTATTATTTAATTAAGATTTGAATATACAGGTTTGAGGCGAGGGGCATCGTTGAAGGTTGTCCACAAGCATGGCGGCTGCTCAACAGGCAAGGACAATACTCCAACTCTAACCGACATTCTCAACCAGGACGAGTCGCGAGTCAACTCAATACACGCTCGAGTCAACTCTGCCAGGATCGATAACCTTAACGCCGTGAGTGGAGTCGGGCGCAAGAAAAAAATCCCGGATTCCAAAGCCGCCGTTCCGGCTAAGTCCGGCACCACCCTCAGCACCGGCAACTACATCGTCACCGTCGGCCTCGGCAACCCCACGAAGAGCCTCACCCTCGTCTTCGACACCGGCTCCGATCTCACCTGGACTCAGTGCGAGCCCTGCGTCAAAACCTGCTATACACAGCAAGAAACTATCTTCAACCCCAAGCTCTCCACCACATATTCCAACATATCCTGCTCCGCCGCCGCCTGCTCCGGCCTCACCTCCGCCACCGGAAACAACCCCGGCTGCTCCTCCTCCACCTGCGTTTACGGGATTCAGTACGGCGACTCCTCTTTTTCCGTCGGGTTTTTCGCCAAAGACCGTTTGAGTTTAACGGCAACAGACGCCGTTGAAGATTTTCTGTTCGGGTGCGGGCAGAACAACCAGGGGCTTTTTGGGAAAACCGCCGGACTTCTCGGGCTCGGCCGCGACGCGCTCTCTTTAGTCTCCCAAACCGCCGCAAAATACGGCAAATATTTCTCCTACTGTCTCCCCACCAAAAGAGGGGCTAACGGCCACTTAACGTTCGGTAAAGGCGGCGCCGCTCCGGTAAAATACACGCCGTTCGCCACCGACCAGGGCGCGTCGTTCTACTTCATTGACGTCCAGGCAATCGCCGTCGGCGGGAAGCAGCTCTCGATTAGCCCGGTGGTTTTCAAGAGCTCCGGGACCATCATCGACTCCGGCACCGTCATAACCCGCCTTCCACCGGCGGCGTACTCCGCGCTCCGATCCGCCTTCCGGCAAGGAATGAGCAAGTACCCGCAGGCGCCAGCGTTGTCCATACTGGACACGTGTTACGATCTCAGCAAATACACGACGGTGAGCGTACCCAAGATAAGCTTCGTGCTGAACGGCGGCGTGACAATGGATCTGCCGCTGGTCGGAATCCTGCTGGGCAATGGCGCATCGCAAGTTTGCTTGGCGTTCGCCGGAAACGGCGACGCTAGCGACGTGGGCATTTTCGGAAACATACAGCAGCAGACATTCGAGGTGGTATATGACGTGGCAGGAGGGAAGCTGGGAATTGGGGCTGGTGGCTGTTCTTAATTAATTAACTATGCATTAAAACATTTGAAATTTAGCATTTAATTGGAAATGCAATTTAGTAGATGTGTGATAGAAATAACCAAAGGCTGAGAAAGGAATTTCAGCTTGTAGAAGTATAAAGTGATTGATGGATGTTTGTGTGAGAACCAAAAACCCAAAGGTAAATGTGTAGAATACCATTTACTTCATCTTTAATTTGAATTTACATACTATTTGTTTCTATCACACTTGCTCATTTCTTCTCATACACTACTATTGTGCTGGTTCATAGTGGCTAAATCATAACTATTAGACAATATGAGGAATCAATAAATGATTTATAGTAGTTTGTGAGAAACAAAAGTGATGGGGTGTGGACCCTGATGGGGTGAGGACCCCGGCCCAAGAAGAAGGGCCCACAAGAGAGGGGCCCAAGAAGAAGGGACCACAAGAGAGGGGCCCAAGAGAGAAGGAGCCCAAGATAGAGGATAAAGGTTAGTAAAAGAGGAAGCCCAATGGTGGCCTGGGCCGAGTTCAGGAGTCGGTCTGGGCCCAAGCGTGAAAGGAGACTCGGCCCAGGGGTCAGTAAGTAGCATTCAAGTCGGTCTAAGAGCCGTTGAGGGAACACTCAATAAAGCATTCAAGAGGACTCGGTCAAACGGGCCGTTAGATGGCCAAGGAGCCGTTGGTCGACTCAGTAACGGCGACCGAACGGTCCGATGATGTAATTAGCCTTGAAAGCAGTGTTTAATGTACTTCAATTCGGCCGGAGGGGAGCCTACTATATAAAGGCCCCTCCACACTTGTAAAAGGGGAGGCGAGTCCATGCCCAAAAGAGCCACACGCATTTTCTAGATATTTGATTATCCATCTTTGCGATCACTTTTTGAGAAAGGTGAATCCACCAACCAAAGGTTGTGTTGGACCTCCTTGGGCCCGAAAACCCAAAAACCAACAGACTCAATTGGCTTAGGGTCCAAGAAGGGGAAAGGGTCAAAGTCAGGGAAGAAGGGGAAAGGGTCAAAGTCAGGGAAGAAGAGGCCCAAAGATAGACTCAGGCCAACGCAAGTAGTCGGCTCGAGTCGAAGGTCGGGGCGAGCGCGAGGTCGGCACGAGTAGTATGTCGGTCTGGAAGTAGCCGTTATTCTTAAAATCACCCATGAAACCTATTTACTACCCTATTATTACCCAACTTATTACCACTAGTTAATTACCTAATTATTAATATTATTATCCATAACCTCCCAAAGTAAATATCATATTAAACACCTTACTAAATTACCCAACAGCTATAATCCCATCCTACTACTATAAAAGAAGGTTCAAGAGCACAAGAGGGGGATCGGATTCATTCTTCTACACATGGGAGGACTCTCCCAAACACTATTCTCCCACTTACTATTCTTTCTCCTCTAAGAAGACATCTCATTCACCCTCACATGGGGGCACTCTTCCTACACCACTTTCCCAAGAAGACTCCATTCCACAATGCACAAGAGAATGAAGACTCCATCACTCCCCCCAAAGAGAAAGTACTCTTCCACAACCACTCTCCACTCATCTAAGCAAGAAGACCACATGAAGAAGACTCCATATGAGAAGACTCTACCACTCTTCCACGCATGAAGAAGACTCCCTCTCAATGTACAAAGTATAGTAGCTCTATCTCTACACAACATCACATACACAAAATAGCTCTACAATATGTAGCTCTACAAAAACACCTACAAAATATATAGTGAATTTAGGCTTGGCACCGCCCAAAAAGGCCCGTGGTTTTCACCTTTCGGTTTCCACGTAAAAAATCATCGAGCCCATATTTTTAGCAGTTTTAATTGAAAGGTGAATCCACCAACCACGTTTGTGTTGGACCTCCCTGGGCCCAAAAACCCTAAAACCAACAAAAAGAATAATGTGATCTAACAAAAAATATTTAATAACAAAAAAACGCATATCTAAATAAAAGTCAACAGGTATGGTGGGTAACATATGTGATCACATTCGTCAATAGGGGACATAAAGCCTTAGGGCATCCTCAATAGTGTGAAGATTTTGAGGAGATTTTACAGGTGTGATTAGGAAAGAGAAAATGGGATGGGAGGATAAAAAAATTAAAATATAAAAACAAAAAGAAAATCAAAAAAAAAAAATTAATTACGCGTCCACTGCACACGCCCGCCTGAGCGCGATGTGAGGCGCAACTCTCTCCTCAAACGCTGGGCCCCACAAGTCTGCAAAATCCCTATGTCTTGCAGGAAGCACCAATTTACTCTCTTCTCTTTCTCTCACTTCCAACAAAGCATTATTTTCTACCTAAGAGAGACTGTAACATTTTAGAAAGTGGGAGAGAATTGCTAGGATGGGGTTAGCCTAAGCTACCTAAGAGAGACTGTAACAACCCAAAATTTTATTTTATAAATCAAATTTTAAGAAATTCCGAAAATAGTCATTTTCACTCCATTAAAGATTTTTGCGATTAATTGGTGTCTGAATAAATTATTTTTGTCACATTTTAAATTAATTCGACGCCAAAACATATTTAATTCGAAAATTCCTAATTTTCGGATACTTCGCGTACCAAGTTTTAAATCGATAAATTTATCTGAGTGAGACCGGGAGAATTCAAAAAGAGTGGGATCTGAGCTACATGCCACCAGGTGATTCCTCGGGAGGCTTTAATCAAGGTAACTAGTTAAGCTTTTAAGTTCAGTTATAGATTCGTTGGTGCAGTTGTTTAGATTTTAGATAAGTTAGATGTGAACTCAGAGATTCCTAAATCTTTCCAAAGTGTTCCAGCAAAAAATTTTAACCTTTTGGTTATATCACCTTTTTTCTTCGAGAACTTGATCCACTGTTTCTTCTAAGTTTCGGGACGAAACTTCTTTTAAGGGGGATAGAGTGTAACAACCCAAAATTTCATTTTATAAATCCGGTATTAAGAAATCCCAAAATAGCCTTTTTCACTCCATTAAAAAAAATTGCGATTAATCGGTGTTTGAATAAAATATTTTCGTCACATTTAAGTTAATTCTACACTAAAAATGGATTCTATTCGAAAATTTCTAAGTTTTCGGGTACTTCGCGTACCAAGATTTAAATCGAGAAATTTATCTTAGTGAGACCTGGAGAATTCAAAACGATTTTAAACAAGTGTTCATCCAAATAGCTTTTTGAGAAAATTCATTTCCAACCCCAAGGTATTTAAAGTTAGCATTTCTAGCCTTGGTCCATGATACAAGGTGAACCATTCCACTCCAAAAGACTTTGCTGAGAAACACTTTGTATGCAAGCTTTTACCTTTTTGCCCTCAACCAATCATTGGCCTTCTACCTAGGGTTTTGGACCCTATATAAACTCCACTATTCCACCTTGATTCCCTGATCTCTTTCTTTGTCTCTCCACACACTTTGTCTACTAAGAGAAAGGGAGAAAACAACATCACAGTAAGCTCATTTCCTTCTTCAATTCTAGCCTCCATTTCTCTTCTAGTTCGTTTTAATCTTTGAGGTTCTAGGCTAAGGTTGTATGGCGTTTGGGAAGTATAGGTGGTGAAGGAGGCACAAGCTAGATAGAGAGGAAGAAGAGATCCAGGCTAGAAGAAAGACTACAAGAGGTATAACCCCAAGGATTCCACTTTAAAATTTGGCTCTGTGAAGCCTTAGTATTGAGTAGAAATGAGTAGAAACTATGATATTTTGTTGTGTTTATGTTTAGAAGTGATTTAGTATTTGTTTGTGAGTTGTTGAGATTGGTTTGGACTTGATTGGATTTGATTTTGCAGATAAAAAACCTTCTGGTGCACAACACAGTGTGCACCAGATCAGATCAATGGCCCTAGCCGCGGCCCATCAGGAGGGCCGCCGCCTAGTCCCGGTGAAGTAACGGGTTATAAGGGGCGGACCATGAGGAGTCCCTCCCCAGGCCCCTGACTTTGATTCTAAGAAGAATCTGTGCAGTAGCCGAGCCCTTGTGGCTTAGCTACTTGTCGTTTTGGGCCGAGAGTTACGGGCCCTTGCAGCTCTGCTCTTTGGGACCGTCTCGACGCACGTTTTGGCTTTGATTTCGTTGAATTTGGATCTAAAATGAGTATGTTATGAAGGAAATTGTGAAGAAATACTACACATAGTATATATTTTGTTATGCACTGTATATTAAGAATTGTTGTCTTTGTGATCTGTTTGGTGTTTTTATTAAGTATAGAAGCATGATCATTTGAGAATGTGATTCACTACTATAGCATGATTAAATTGTATTATTTGATCCAAGAGAATAGAAGTATATTTGTTGAAGTGAAATGTATAGAAGTTGCCTATTTGCAAATCGAGCATGACATTATACTTTGAATACTTCATGATATTTTATACATGATTTAGAAGCATGTTATAGAGCATTTTGACATTTCACATGTGTCATGTTTCAAAAATGCATAAGGGGCCAACGTGAGCCCAAGAATACTTTCAAAAACCATAAGCATGTGGTATATCATTCTTTGATGCATTGAGATGTAGTAGAGTTGTTGCATGCATGAGATTGATGTATGAGAGATATATTTATGTATTATCTATATTGGTGAGGTTTTGGAGGATACCGTTTGGACTATGTCCTCTCGGGAGATATTCATGGACATTGCAGTCCTAGTATATGTAACGCGACGTATTCCCACGTTACGAGGTTGGAAACTGCCCGCCAGGCTTGGAATCCTAGTTAGGGGGTGTGCACACTAATAGTTCGATACCTGATTCCACAAAGTTAGAACCACGTGATTGGTTCCGTAGACGGTAGGAGATATTGGGTCGGATTTATGCCGTTCCCGATAGGGTAATTCACGCATCGGTGAAACCCTAAGCCGTCTACCGAGTATAGAGAAAGAAAACGAGTCAAGAGAGACTCAAGAGAAAGAAAGAGAGTCAAAAGAGACTCAAGAGAAAGAAAGGGACTCAAGAGAAAGAAAGCGAGTCAAGAGAGACTCAATAGTGATAAAGAAAGTCAGAAAGAGAACCTCCATAGAAAGTACTCTATTTTTATAAAGAGTGTATGAGTATTTATATTTATATTATTGCACGAGATTGCATATGAGTATGAGTATATAGTTGCACGAGATTGCATATTAGTATGATCATATTATTGCACGAGATTGCATGAGTATGAGTATATTATTGCACGAGATTGCATATGAGTATGAGTATATAGTTGCACGAGATTGCATATTAGTTTGTTTATATTATTGCACGAGATTGCAT